AATTATTATTTTTCTTTTTTTTTTTTTTTTTTTTTCCGACCAGAGCTCTCCTCGCCTAGGTTGACAGTAAGAAGCACGGGGCAGCCATGTGTTCTCGTGCGGGGACCAACAATGATACCATGCACTGTACGATTTCCGGTTAGTCCCTCACGCTATCTGACCGCGGCCAAGCTATCCAGAAGGTCAGCTATTGGAGATCGGTGGGATCAGCGCATGTAAGCGAAGCCGATAACCTCCTCTGCTTTTCTATCTCGACTCTCTAGTACCGCCGGCCCCACTGCCGCGGACCGTAATGCCGAAAGACTAAATCGAGGGTGGGAAAACTGGGGAAGCGATGTTGATCCCCTGTGGTCTGCGGGGTAATTAGACTGCTGATACCTTTCTGAAGACTGTCTCCCGAGTTGAAATTAACTCGGCACATAAAATAAATCTACTAGTAGTAGTGGGGCTTCGACATATCACCTGGCGACTGACACGCTAGGGCTTTGCATTTAGGGTTCGGTTTATTTACGCCCGTCCTTGAAACTACAATTGGAGGAAAAAATAAATTAACGACATGATCGTCTCTTCTCATTAACACTATCTCATTATTCATTTACTCATTTATCACTAATTAATTACTCGCATATTCGGGCTAGGCGACAAGTCCGTGTCCCGCAAGGCGTCCGTCACATTCTGCATCACATCGGGATTCGACGACACCAACCCAGAGATGGAACCAAACAGTACCCTGAGAATGGGCACGTTGGCGCTGATGGTCAAATTGTTCAACACCTTCTCAAAGTACGGGATATGTTCCCCCTCGTAGATAGTCGACTGGCCGGATGCCGAGATCATCACATTCCCTTGGCTCAGGGCCTCCGACTCGGCGGCCAAAATGGGCCCGATGTTTCTGATCGCGTTTGGGATGTCCACCACGGCACGCAAAGGAACTGAGTTGTTTCCTGGCTTCAGCAGCACGTTGCTAATAGTACCATTTCCTAAAATCATATCATCGATCTTAAGATCTAGAGTGACATTTCCCTGTCCAAGAAGTAAGTCGCTGAATCCCTTACAAACAGGCGAATGTAGCTTACCAGAGCAAAGGTAACAACAGAGTAGTTTGGCAATGTTGCTTGCCCAAGCAGGTTCGAACCATCGTCCTCTGGTGGAAGAGCCACTCGGGCGGAGTCAATAGAGAAGCCCTTCAACATATTGAGACCTGGATCGCCGGAGGTTAATGCTAGTTGATCAGCTGGAGCGCAGCAGCACCACTTACCATCTAGTTCTATATCCTTATCAAGTTTCAGAGGGACTTTAATCTTTCCGAGATGAGCTGTCGCCTTTCCGTAAGCTGATAACGTAAACCGTTCTGAATAAACCGCATTGGCCAAAAACGTAGTGAACTGGTCCTCGTCCAGGATTTCAGTCGTCTGGTTGGTGATGGTGATGTCTGATTTCCCTTTCAGGCGGAGTCCATTGAGCGGAACCGTCACGAATGGCTTCCTCGGCACCACATCTCGATTAAATAGACTTAGGTCGAAGGGATCGATCCGAACACTCAATCCGAGCGGCACGCTTAAAGATGCGGACAGCGAAAAGGTTAAGCCATCAGGGGTTGGCCGCATGATAGCAGCCGAGTGGATTGGTATGCCAGCATCATCGACCAACCTCTGCGCAATCGCTGGTATAATGACTAGGAAGCTAAGGCTCGAGTATTAGTGATTTTCGGCCTTTTCAACAAATAACGGACCCACACAAAGGCGGCAGTCTTACAATACGGGCAAGAAGATTGCCAGGAATATGAACCCCAGGAGGCCATAACACAGCCAGTACCGCTTGAAATGCTTGAAGATGCGTGGCCAAAAGCCCTTGGGCTTATTGTATCGGAGGTCTTTGGACCTTGCTCCAAGGGCAGTGCTGCCACGAGGCCCTGCCCCTTCGCCTTCACGCTGCTTCTCCTTGCCTGGGGAGTCGGAATCGATAGACTCTCTCCAGGCACTGGAGCTCTCAAAGGGCCTTTCCGACTCACCGATAGCCATGGGGTCTCGGAGGTTGCGAATGCCACTCTAGAGTCTTTTTGCAGTGTACAAGACAGAGCTCCCAGTGCACAATAGGCGATAGGGAAGGGCTATGGCATGTAGAACAATCATACTAGGAGTGCGGGGGATAAACACTTTATCAGTCAAAGCGGGAATCTGGGGACGAGTAGCCCCCGCAAACACTATTATATTGAACATCTTGGCTACCCACGATCCCTCTGATCATCACTGAGTCAAAACAAGCTTGCTCCGACTAGATTAGTCTGAAATAGGTAGAGTGCGGAATGATCAGGGTCTGTCCGTCCTTGTGCCTTGGGAGACTATCGGTTCGCACTGGTAACGAGAAGAATGGGACCTAGGAACACCCTACATTGGCATATTCTGGCGAAAAAAAAAAGGTCGGGGTCGATTTCAGGCCTCGTGATGAGGCTACCTAGGTTAGCACCTTGGAGGTAGGATTTAGTAATGTCGTCACTTCGATTTGTTTCCTTCAATTAAGTATTTTTTTTTTTTTTTTTTTTGGTCTAACGAATTTAGCCTATCGACACTCATAATTTCGTTTTGTCAGATGTATCTCAGAGGCTGTGCTGTGCATTTCTGCAGGAGTGCCTCGGACCGTTAACCGCGGAAGAAAATCCTTCCAGCGCCAATTTAATTTATTGAGCTTGATTAATTTATCCCTCCTACTTCCCCGCAGATCCACGCCTCGGACTGCCTGCCGCGGCCGTGGAATTAAATTCGTGGATGAGAGTCGCTGCAGCTTTTGTGTGTGGCCAAATACGTAGGATAGAGGGTTATATATTCGAAAGCCATGGTGCGATGTCTTGGTCTTACGATGGACTGGTATTCTGTGTGCAAAGATTCTACTAGCACGTTTTATCTACATGCTCAAAAAGTCTCACAATGAATAAACCGGAAATGCCACGAGTGACTACGCCTGACTCGGAGGAGTCGAAGCGAGACGACTCCCCGGAGCCATGGCAATCAAGTATCTCGGAAAAGCCCACTCTGAGCATGGTTCCGGACGACGAGCTGCTGGACTCCCTTCAAAGCACAGAAAATGTGCAGAAGATTGTGCGAGAAGGGGTTTTGCTCGCCACCGGGGCTGCAGCCATCCTTCTGCAAGTTGCCATGCCCGGTGTCGCCAAAGGCGTCGATAATCACAGCAGCTTTGCGTACCGGCCCCTACATCGTCTGCGGACAACGTTGACCTTCGTCTACTGCATGGCATTCGGCACAAAGGACGAGAAGCGCGCGATCATCTCCATGGTCAATCGTGCCCACGCCGAGGTAAAAGGGCCGGATTATTCGGCGGATGACCCGCACCTTCAGATGTGGGTGGCGGCCACCTTGTATGCCAGCGGCATCTTCATGTATGAAGAGGTCTACGGCGCCATGGATCCCCGCAAGGCTGATATGATCTATCGAGAATACTCTGTCCTGGCGCGGTCTCTGCGTGTACCGCTCGAGATCTGGCCCAAGGACAGAAAGGCCTTCTGGCGCTACTGGGACAAGACGGTGGCCAACCTGGAAGTTACCGATCACGCCCGCAACATCGCCCAGGACTTGTTGTATAACAAGCAGTTGTTCCTGCCCCTGCGTATGGGTCTACCCTTCGTGCGCTTGATGACAGCTCGGATGCTCCCCGAACGTCTGCGTGTAGAGTACGGCATGAGCGACGGGCGTCTGCGCCGCTCGATCTATAAATCGGTAATCCTAGGGGCCAAGATCGCCTACCCGATTATCCCTCGTTTTATTCGAACAGTCCCCATGAAATACTACATGAGAGACATGCGTCGTCGACTGAGGAGGATGGCCTAATGCGTTACGACTAGTGTTCTCATGTTTGATGATGATTCCCTCATTCCCATGCAGCCTGCAGTGTGTTCCTGTTTCTATTCATTGGCTCTACTGGCGCTCTTGTCAATGTGTCAAGTACGCTCTCTGTATTACTCTCATGAATAAGCCGTCTTGCTCTCGACTTTTCGATATGTTATGTCTTTACGCGTATGCAACCAGGCTGAAATATGAATTGACTACAAATTACATCAGATTAATGGGGATGGTAGCACTCTTGAGAATTGTAACATATGAACCATCGCGATGCGTCCAGCCCATCCACATAATAAAGTTATGTATACATGTACGTTGCTCCAAGGGACATAGATAGACATATAGGGGCCCGATTGGTAAACGCCAGATAACGACGAGTCTACCCAAAGAACAAGAGCAAAATTCACCGCACTCTAAAACAGCATCCACTATGAGCCCTCAGGAAACCACTGTCACGGATTAGCTGAGTCCATTTAGCTTAGCATCGATTGACTTACAGTACAAATAGATGACAGCAAGGAAGACAATCCACGAGAGTGTCCAGCACAAAACCCTCTCCAGATGACTTCTCAGTCGTGGCCATGCATATGATTGTTCAAGCCATCCGAGCCTGCCAGGGTAGTCGGCTGCCTCGAGGTCCACCTCCTCTTTGCCATGTGGCATCTTCAGTAAGCCCTGTTTCACTTGTCCCATGTCTTGGTGCCAGATTCTCGTCGGGGGGGTTCGAGGAACGAGACGTGATGTTTTGGATGAAAACTGGTGCCCTGATCAGGATTAAATTAATGAAAGCCGGTATCACCTGAGCGCAATCGACCTGGCGGGGTCAGAACGTAAGGACAAGCAAGATATCGCCCCTCGACCTACTCGTATAACTAATCCCCCAACAGGTGTGGCCAATAGGTAGATCAAGGCGGTACACACAGACAACGCCGCTATATCTTCACACGACACTAGCAGGATGATCGCAAATCCGATTCGCTTGATGGGCAGAATAGTCCGAGGAGAACCCCGCAGGTCGATCATGGCCTGTCGCTGCAAATTAGGGTTTCCCCGCGGGGGAAGTTGCATACCGCGGGCCGCGAGACTAGATGGCGCTTTCTGATTCAGCTAGAATCAGGAGTGTGCTCAATGCGGTTGGAGCAGATTGGAGATGCTCTCGAACTGTAAACCTGGGGAAAGGATTATGTGTGACGCGGCGTTCAGCCATGGCCACTCATAGTAAGAAAGGCAAGTCGCCAGGAAACCCCTGGTTAATATGTAAACGTTGGACAGCCTTGAGAACACCCCAAAACCACTGGATTTCCACAGCTGTCATATCTCCCGCTTGTTGCGATCGCTGTTGCGACATACTCCTAAAGAATTATAGACTCTATCCACTCAGACTCTCTTACATTGATTGGGTCCACGGGCTAGCCTCCTGAGATAATCATGTACCAGACTAAAGGCCCTCGGCCAGCGGAGAAACGCATCCGACGCGCGGCTGCGGCCTGCTACCGATGCCATGGACGCAAGGTGCGCTGTGATGCATCGATTCTCGGCTATCCTTGCACGAACTGCGTGCTCGACGGCAGAACGGACTGTACTCTGCGCCCCAATGCTACGACACGTTTCAAGAATCTGAAACAGGGCCAGCGTCGGAACACTGCCGAAAGGTTGACGAAGCCCAGTGAGGACGAACAAAACACCTTCAATGCCAGTAGAGAGCCCTGCGAAACCACTCCCCAATCCGCCGTGTTACCACCAGCGACTGGGTTTCCGGCACTGTTGCAGTCGCCTAGTCATACCGAAACGACATTTGAGTATGAGTCTGATGCTTCGACCCAGATAGTTGACCCCCTGCCTATGAACTCGCCTCGGATGAGGTTGGGCAGTGTCGGTGCTAGCTTTTCTGGACAACATTTTCTAGACCTCAAGGCCCTATCTCTGCTTCCGATGAGCGATGTGCATATCCTCGTGACAGGTGGCTGTCTAGACATGCCTCCCAAGGTTACGGTGGATGTTTTCATCATGAAATACTTCCTGCTCGTGCATCCGTCTGTCCCCATCTTGGATGAAGTGGAGTTTTGGAACACATATCTCCAACCGGAGGACAGCGACTACGCGCCCAAAATCTCGCTCTTCGTTTTTCAAGCCATACTTCTTTCGAGCTGCGCGGTATGTACCCTTCTTCCGTCATGTGGCCACTCGGCCTCGGGTTAACCATGGACTCGACGGTGCAGTTTGTGCCCCTCGAAACCATCCAGCAATGTGGCTTCAAGAATGCATGCGAAGCAAGAAGAACGTTTTATCACCGCGCCAAAGTATGTCTTTTTTTGGATCTTTGTACATGCTGGAGAAAAAAAAAATACTTATCCGTCTGCTAATGTACGCCTGACCAAACTAGATGCTGTATGATACTAACTTCGAGAGCGACCCCTTAGCACGAGCCCAAGGCGCCCTGCTGCTAACATTCCACACCACAGCCGAAGACCCCCAAGCAACGATGACCTGGAACATGTGCGCAATCCACAATGCAACCGCTACAGGCTTGGGTCTCCATCCTTCGGTCCAGGATCCCAATAGGTGTGCCAAGAAACGACTGTGGTGGTCTATTTTTGTCCGCGATCGCTTCCTGTGGCTTGGCCGTCACCGTCGGCCTCAGTTCACATCCGCGAATTTCAACTTGAACATTGACTATCTACACGAGGAAGACATGGCCAACGAAATCATGATGTCCCCGTTCTATGAGCCCAATGCCAAGCGCCTGCTGCTGAAAGTGTTCCAGGCCCAATGCCAGCTGGCTGCGATCTTGACGGATGTCATAACCATTTCGTTCTCGGCCTCGGACGGGGATGCTCCACGTCTATCCCATCATGAGCTGGATATATATCTCACAAGGATCAAGCAGCTACGAGCGGAGCTCACTCAGTGGGAAGAAACGGTTTATTCCCCCTTGCATCATACTGGCATCGCCGAACCAGAAACTGTTGGAATTATCATCAATCTAACTGCTTTGCACTACCAGTAAGTTACTACTGGCGAACATGGTGCTGTGCTCTCGCTCACAGGTTTGACAGGACCGCTCGTATGGTCCTGGGCCATTATGAGACGCTCCTTGTGGAAAGCCACCTCGATTTGATCCAAGACCGCTCAGCGTCGATCCTGCTGCCTGTGGCCAAAGACTTGAAAGACGCCGTATTTCAGATCACGCAGAAGCTTGGTTATTTCAGCTCAAGGAACCTAACGGAACATATCCCCTTGAGTGTGTAAGTCACCTTGCTCTTAACAATAAGCCCTATGTCCCCAGATACCAATTTCAAAGACTTCAATCGAGGCTTAAGTGCCGTCCAAACGGATATTCCATTTCCTGTTTTCCTATACTGACCAGGGCGAAAGACTTGCGTATTGTGGCACTCCCATGGTGCTCGCAGCGATAGACGTCAAGCTATCTATGTCTTATTCGGACATGGTTGAACGAAAGCATGCTCTTGACAAATGCTCCGAGGTCATTGATCAGTCACGGAGAGTGTACGACGTCACAGAACTCTTCTCCCAAGGCACGCATCAGATCCTGCACCTGGCATACGCTATTACCAAAAACCTGCTTCTAGAAAGCAACGTCCCACAGACTGGCTCATCGCTGACCGAAGACTCAAAATGCCTCGAAGCCAATGAAGTAGAGGAGAAAGGGCGTGATAAGCTTCTGTCCCCTGCGTTCAAAAGGTTGCGAATAAGAGGTTGGGCTGAAGCGTTCCTGAAATATCCGCGTGCGTATCTCTTAATTTCAACATGTATTGACTCTAGCCTGGCAACCGGCCGTCTGCCACGAAACGAACTCCTGCCACCGATCATCAGAGACACGACGTACGTGGTTCTGGGCCTACCAAAGCTTCCGTGGACAATAGGGCTTGCCACTGGAGGCACAACCGTGCCCACTGAGGAAAATGTGCAGAAGGATCAACGTCGGCTGAGAGGTCGACAGGGGAGTACATCTCTCAACGATACATGGTATTTAAGCCTACTTCAAAATGTCGATGCAGATCCGTCCCTTTTTGATGCTTGTGTCCTCAATGATGGGAGTCCACGTAACAGCAATGTCGAGACGACTATAAAATACCTAAAGGACCATGATCATGCAACCAGCACCTCTTGATTTTAAGAAAAAAAATTTTTTTTTCCCCCAACGTTATGTCACCAGAAACGACACGAGCGGTCGCCTCGGGGGTTCCTAGGTAAAGGGTAGCTCATTGGGATGTAGCGTTTATAATCGCAAGTACTTGTCTCGGGCTTCTGGATTGGCGTTATGGGATTCACTGATGCGTCGATTGGGACCAGCAAAGTGAAAATAGGGACAAATCGCGAGCCTACTGTATGGAGAGAGAAAAGACGGAGGGACGGAGATTGACCCCGTGATATCAACGAAGGCATGAACGGCTTGTTTGTTTGTCAGGTTTTTGTTTTTCTGTTAGCCGTCTCTTAGGTCAGCAGACCCACCCGCCCTTCGTCGCCAAAAAATGAAACAATTCAGAGCTCCTTTATACCACTGCCATGGTTAATTTGTATTCTAATATTGAGATATGTATTTTGTATCGGTGTGTAAATTTGCTTAAGGCCAAAAAAGGCCTGATATCTCTGCGTTGACACGTTAATCTAGTCTTGAGTCTATTACTACTAACTCACACGGAATATATATTTGTAGTCGTAGTATTTGAAGCACTTGTACTTTCCACACAAAATTCCGTAATAATTTACCAGAGAAGGTACTCATTCACTAGATTTATTAGCAAGTTGTTAGTATATGTAGTCTATCTATCACTTTCTAAACTATACGTGGATTATATTTTATCTAGATTGGCCTCGTGTAGTACATAGATAAATTCGGTCCTCTTCCAATCAGCGAATACAGTCACCATAGAGCACCCTGGAGGCCACCACTCCGTCCACTAATACAAGGCGTGTGCTACGAAGGAGAAACATATTGTATAATTGTATGATCTTTCTGAGAGTAAGGTGTACAGCGAACCTAATCGTCGGCGAACTCTCATTTTGAAATAGAGAGCATAGACTTACATCTATCTTTGTCAGACAGCTTTTGCGAAACGCGCTTCTGTATGCTCTCGGCGTGAGATTTAGACCTCGTATGGCCATTGGTCAGGTCGAATGTCTACGTCTAACGAAGTACCTATAGGGGCATGCCTTGCTTGTTCCTGGTTATCGCTGACAGTATTATCAGATTTGACCAGGTTGATGGTAAAGTATACCGGCAGGAAAATATGAAGCCGAGAGGACAATCACTCGCATCGGGAATTAGGGCAAAAAAAAAAAAAAGAAAAAAAAGAAAAAAAGAACCAAGGACGGCATGGTCAACCACTTCCCCCAACTGAACGCGTCTCGTGACAACAACAACACTTCGTACGTGTCGGAACAAAGCTGTACCGGTCCGTCAGTGTATTGAGACTGGCAGGAATGGGACCTGTCAGGGTCACGTGGTACGGATGAGGAGGGGAAACTGCCTGAGGCATAGTTCGTCCTCTATAAATCGCAGTCTGCCCCATGAATCAGACCGAGGACTCCATATAGCTGGGTTTGCCCCCTTATCTCCTCTCGAGCAAGAATTAACGGGTATCCTGCTGAGCACTCGTGGCATCAACCGAGAACTCCGTCCTTTACCATTCTCGCTTGGATCATGGAAACAATTCCAATGGCTGGCAATCATGCAAAGGCCCCTGTAGAGAGTGGGATTCCCAGTTCGCGTCGCCCATTTCCTTGCGATGAATGCCCGAAAATGTTCACTAGAAATGTGAGCAATAATATTTTCTCTGCCTGTACCATCTGAAATGTCTCATACGAAAGCCATGTCAACAGGAAAATCTGCGACGACACAAGCGCGCCCGTAAGTTCTCACGCTTCGAGAGCAACAAGACCGCAAGGTAGTGATTACTGTTTACTTAGGCCATCGCCGTGCCCAGAGCCATGATTTCAAATGCGATGGCTGTCATGCTGTGTTTGCCCGAAGGTCTCGCTCACCCTGGCGTCAACCTTCTCGTTTGAGTATCACTAACCAGCTCCCAGCGACGTATTCAAACGGCACCGTGATCGTTGCCCGGTAGAGGTATCGAATAATCATACATCTCGACCGCAAACGAATTTGCAGCAGAGCTATCAGGCAACGGGCCCTACAACAGCGCTCTTATCGACGACTGAGGCGCCGGCCGCGAGTCTAAGATCTGGTGATCAGTTCTGGGAGGCACACGGCTCCTTTGCTACTGACTTTCCGCGAGAATTCCTATTGCCATCGCCGGTGTATGCCTTTCCCTAATGAAGTTCATGTCAAGTATGCAGAAATATGTTTCTAATGACCGTAACTTCAACGTAGAAACCACCATCACTTGGCTGAAAATGTCAAGAACTATTTTGAGCATTTCCATCCATCTCTGCCTTTGTTACATCGGCCCACATTTACAGTAGCATCAGCACCGAAGCTCTTGCTCGATGCTGTGAGTCTGATAGGTAGCTTATATTCGACCATTCCATGCAGCGATGAAGAGGTCCAAGCTCGTGCGCATTGGCGTAGGGATGCGTGGCAAAGTGGACAGCTGGAGCTTCGGAATATGGTACATGAGACATCCTCCCTTCTCAGCTCGATGTGCGGAGATGCTAAGTGATGTCGAGATTAGATCCTCAACGAATGCCGCGACATACGGAAACCCTGGGTCATGCAAACCTGGATCCTTTACATAATATACGGGGTCTATGCAGGAGAAACAACTCAGTTCCAAACAGCACGAGCGATGTTGCGGCAAATTGTTGATGTTGGTCTAGCCCTTTCCTCCCTTTCATTTCATTTCGTTTGTTTTGATTTTTATTTATTTGTTTGTTTTGCTACAGTTTTGCTTATTGAAAGTTAGGCTATACGCGAGGTCGGTCTCTCCCATCAAGAGATTGCCATGCCTGAGTCACAATCCTGGTTGTATGACCTCGATTATCCCCGCGGAGATGAATCACAAACACTCTATGCTCGATGGACCTCCTACATAACCGCTGAGTCCACGCGAGTGGCGCTCTATACGCTAATATTCCTGGACTCACACGTGTTCGTCCCCTGCAATTTTCGGCCATTAATGTCGTCCATGGAACTTGGATGGGAGCTTCCTTTTCCCACCAAACTCTGGGAGGCCAAAGACCCTGAAATATGGATCCGGAGGTTCAACGAATATTTTGGGGTCTCTGGATTTACATTTACCAACGATCTACTTCACCGGCCACGCGGGCTAGCGGCAGCGTCCTTGACGATGGCGACGCAGCAGCTCATGACCGAAGCTCCCGGGACCGAGATATCCTCCGTCCTCGAAGCATCCCCACTGGCGGCATTCTGCGTGCTAGCAAACCTGGATACACTGGTGCGGGACTTCACAAGGTGTTACTACCAAATGCCACCCAGCTATTCTGACCCAAATCCATTTCACATTTTGACTCAAAGTCAGACCAAGAGTGTTCATATGGCAATACGCAACATCGGGAAAATTGTGAAAGACATGGCTTCCACGAGTGACAGTCCGCAATATCTCCTATGGCGAACAAATGAGCTCTTTCTTGTTTCCCTACAGGTCAGTTTATGCCGACCTGATCAGCTGCTGATTGGAGGCATCGTCGACAATAGCCTGATTGCCGGCATGGCTGCCTCGACCCATCTGATGAGAGGCAACTTTGTCGCAGTCCGACGATCTGCGCCCTTGTTGGCACCTCGTCCGGGCGGCAATGAAGGAGTGCTCGCTTTACTCAGTGAGCTTTCTGCGGCACTCGCCAGCATTTATGGCGTGAACTCGGAAAAGGTTGCCTATGAAGCGCCTTGGGTCACAGTTACCAGCTATGGGATCCTTCTGTGTATTTGGGGAGCGCTCAGGCGTGCCACTACCGAGATTCGTGACCACTTGAATACGTTCAACCAGCTCCCCCGGACATCCGAGCCGTGCATATTGATTTTCAACACACTCATGGAGGCCACCCTGCTCTACTCTTCGACCACTAGACATAATCGGGATAATCGCGATCCACGCTTGTGGTCTCCAGATCGTGACGCCTTCTCTTCTCTATTAAGGGAAGGCCAATTGATGTTTGCGGATCTGGTCAAGGCTTTCTGTCGGCAGCGATTTGTGTGGAGCATTGGGCCGTCGATGTTGGCTGTACTGCGAGAACTTCCTGACGACGCCAGTTGTGGCTCAGAGTAAATGGAGCATGTGGAGCTCCACTTGCCCAATGCCTCTGGCCACCCCTTTCGCTCCATGCCCCACTTGGGCAATCTACGACTTCTGGCCCGGACCCATTTAAGACTACTACATGAGCTCAGTGCACATACTGCATACTCTTCTCAGGAACGTCTTTCGAGGATTATTCACGATTCGCAAGAATGACCCCGTCTATTCCACGAGTTGGCTGGGTAGGTTTGGAACATTCGATCCAATGTTTGGATCCACATGACTCACTCCATGATGCATGATAGTATGGCCTTGGATCTATGGGCCTTGGCATGTCATTGAACCTCCAGAAGTACTTTCAAGCAAATGGCTTGCCTCCGCTTCGATACAGCAACAGAACAATCTCCAAGGGAGATGCTCTTCATGATATGGGAGCTGGGCCTGAAGAGTTTGGTGCGCTAGTTCAGAAGTCAGATGTGATTTTCACCATGGTGGGTGCAGCTTTATCCTTCTTCGCCTCACAATGTCTGGCTTGGAAGAATGACTGACGGCTTCCAGATCTCCACCGATGATGTTCTGGTCGATTTGTTGAAGAAGGCTGCCGCCATGGAGATTTCTCTAAACGGGAAAATCTTCGTTGACACATCTACTCTTCATCCAGACACATCTGAGTGGGCAGCGAAACACCTCAGCGGCCACGGTGCGACGTTTATTGCGGCACCAGTGTTTGGTGCCAGTCCAGTAGCAGCCGCTGGAAAACTCATCTTTGCTGTGGCTGGTCCTGCTGCAGCAGTCACGACTGTTAGACCTCTCATCATCAATATCATGGGACGCTGCATCATTGATATGGGAGAAGACGTGCGAAAGTCGAGTCTCCTCAAAATCTCAGGGTAAATCAAGATACCTCTCCCTCATGTGGTTATTCTTTACCCACTAAATCCTCGTCTATATGAAGGAATATCCTCGTCATCAGCTTCATGGAGGTCATTGCTGAAGCACAGGTCTTTGCTGAAGTTGCTGGAATTGGCACCCAGCAGATGGAAGAATTTATTGGCAACATGTTCGGGTCCGTATTGCAAAGTTACAGCCATCGAATCACGAGCGGAGCTTATGCACCTCCTTTGGACACACCGCCTGGGTTCGCGGCTGCTCTTGCATGCAAGGACATGAAGCACGCTCTATCTATTGCTGACTGTTATAACGTTCGCTTGCACACGCTCGAAACGGCTTCGAGAAGGCTGAACATTGCCCGCGAGCATGCCGGCGAGTGGTTAGATAGTTCGGCTCTCTATGGCATTGCGCGGGTAGACGTGGGGCTACCGTTTTGGAGTGAGAATAGTCGGCAAGGAAACCAACCCCCTTCGTAGTTCCTTCAGCTAGTATAGATGGAGGGAGGATGTGATATGATCCCATCCATGGATTTTGTATGAATTATCAATTTACTTGTCGCGTGTCTTCTTTATGTTGTCTCTGAAGTTGTTATACCACCGCAGATTAAATGCTTCTTTTTTATTCAAGTTTACATTTTGTAGTTACACCTTTTTCCAGCTCAACTATCCTTGAATGAGGTCCAGAACATCCATGCTCAATATCACCACGGTAAAATTTCCTGGGGGCCTTCGTCCTCGCGCTAAAGTATATGGCGACATAATGCGACACAATGGCCTTGACGTTAGCTATGCTCACCTTTACGAGGGCACCATGTACCTAAATGAGCCAAGACTGGAGTTTAATGTTCTCAGTATTTCTACAAGATATAGCCCAGTGAAACCTTGTCGACTTCTGCCTCACTGGTGGACTCGTGGTCTCATGTCAATGTTTTGGCGTCAATACGCGAGGTGGGGGGTTCTGGTAACTTTGATCGAGTTAGGGCTCCACGAGAGGCCTGGACGAGATAAGGAGCTTGGCAACGGATGGAGCTCCATTTATCAGCCCCGCAAATGATTGTATCGTCGGAGATCCTGGAATTCTTGGAAATCTGGGGGCCTTTTTCTCCATGGTCAGCTCGAGGAGCCATTTAAGGAGAGTCGTTGACTCCGCCAAATTAGAAATTCTTGAATTTGATAGATCCGGTGAATGTGCACAGAAAGGCAGCAGCATGACCACCCAATGCAACGAAGACAAGGGTTCGAAAGCACTATCCAGCTATGGCATGGAGCAAGTGGACACGGAGGTTCAGCGCGGCGAGATCAAGCATGACCAGGCACGGGATGTTGATCCAGCCCTGCAGTTTCTGGCTGCGGAAGAGATCGAATATACCCCAGCGGAGTCCCGCACAGTGTTGTCCAAGATCGATCGCGTTCTGATGCCTTTGCTGTGCTGGGTATATTTGATACAATTTGCCGACAAAACGTCTTTGAACTATGCCTCGCTGATGGGCATCCGCGAGGACACGCACTTAGATCCCCAGTCACAGCAATATAGCTGGATCTCGAGCATTTTCTACGCAGGATACATATTCTGGGAGTACGTAGCGTTACACTTTCTCTCTATCTTGTCTTCGCCGATGCTGATGTCGGGAGTAGATTTCCCACCACGTATCTGCTACGGCGACTTCCCCTAGGAAAATATACCTCATTCAGTATTCTGGTCTGGGGCGTCGTGCTCCTGTGTCATGTCGCAGCTCATAATTACGCCGGCCTGCTGTGCGTCCGCTTTTTCCTCGGCGCATTTGAGGCGACAGTAACTCCGGCCTTCGTGCTGTTCACCTCTTGCTGGTATAAACAGGAGGAGCAGGCCAAGCGCATGGGTTTCTGGCTCGCTTGCAACGGTGTCGCTCAGATACTGATTGCGGCTATTGCGTATGGACTGTCCGGGGTGCGGGAAGCTTCCATTGCTGTGTGGAAGATACTCTTCCTCGTCCTAGGCTTGCCTACCGTGCTCACCGGCTTGCTCTATTTTTGGCTCATGCCCGACAATCAGATTCAGGCCAACTTCCTAAGCCAACGCGAGAAAATCATTGCGGTTGATCGTATCCGAGGCAACTTCCAAGGTATCGGGAGCCGTACATGGAAGTGGGCTCATTTCTTGGAAGCATTTCGGGATCCGCGCACTTATCTGTACGTGCTCTTCTCGCTCTTGATGAATATCCCAAATGGAGGCATAACGACTTTTGGCTCCCTCATTATCAACTCTTTCGGCTTCTCCAGCCGCATGTCCCTCATGCTGAATATGCCCATGGGCCTGGTTGATATTGCCTGCAAGCTGGGACTGACATATCTTTCGGACAAATATCTGGACCGAACCAGCTTTGCTATTCTCGCTATCCTGATCCCGATGGCTGGTGGCATCCTGATGATTGTTCTTCCCCTTCATGCAAAAGCTGGCTTGTTGGTGGGTTACTATTGTATCGGTGCTGCTGGGACCGCATGGTGCTTGGTCATGGTGATGATATCTAATAATACGCTGGGCTACACCAAAAAGGCAACGGTGAATGGTCTGCAAATATTGGCCTACGCGGCTGGAAACTGGATCGGACCGCAGACGTTCCGTTCGAATCAAGCTCCCGAATATTTCGACGGCAAGTTGATGGTCGCCATTATGTACGCGCTCGCAGCGGCTACCTTGCTAGCCATTCGCCTAGTGAATATTGTGGAAAATAGGAGACGCGACCGGCAGGCCGTTGCCGATCCCGATGGCGAGGGCGTTGCTGTTGGCATGGAGTTCCTCGACTTGACTGATTTCGAGCAGCCAGCCTTTCGTTATGTACTGTGATGGATTGCTACATAATAGAATAGCATTTAGGGCGAGAAGCGCAGGATGTCCTTGAGTACTCGTGCCTAAATGGTGCTCAGCTTGACTGCTACGGTTTATGTTACTGTTTTATGTAGTTATAACGGTTCCTGAATTAACATGGCGTTCCTATGTCTCTCTACAGCGTGCACAATATCCCTCCTGAGATCAAGCTCCTATAGTCAGTGTAGCCCTAATAGCCAGGGGCTAAGGCAAAAGCCAGCGCTTGTCCTTCCAGATGTGCGATTCAAACGGTTTAGCTACATCTCTACACGATACTCAAGGAATGAATCGGTGAGAGGTAGAAGAGTATACATAACGCCAGGAGAAATTTTCCTGCGGTTCAGGGGACGATCGAGTCACCCACCGATGGCTTGCTGGGCTGCATTCAATGACCATGGAGTCATGGACATGTCTCAACTGAAAATCTTGTGCGTGGTATCATGCCTAAAAGTACACCCCGCATTTCCCGTCTTTCGGTTAGGTATCGACCTGTACAATCGTACAATATACGGGTTACGTCTGGGTAACCTAGCCATAAGCCTGACTGAACGTTCAAGCCGCATCTCCATCGGAGACTGTGGTGGAGGTGAGGGTACGTTAGCGCAAGAAGTGGAATGAGGAAGGACGAAAGGAGTGGAGTGGAGTGGTATGGTTTGAAGTGGAGTGATACGGTTTGAGGTGGAGTAGTGGAGTAGTAGAGGGGTGGAGTGGCAGATCTCAATTTGCCTGTTACTTGAAGGGACGCATGAGGGCCTGTCTTGGAACGGTCTGCAAATATGCAAGAGCCATTTGGACACCACCCTGAAGCTGGAAAGCGTCTCCAGAAATCATTATTCATACGGTGCTTCTCGCGGCATAGAAGCCACACTCGTTGAACCTGTGTCGTTTTTCAGTGGTCTATTACGATCCAGGAACAGTCACTATGACGAAGACAGAAGGTAGTACCAAGCCAAAGATCGCATTTGTCGGCCTCGGCGCCATGGGGATGGGAATGGCTGTACATCTGCTGAAGGATGGGTTTTCCGTCACTGGATTCGACGTAAACCCCATGGCCCTCGAGACGTTACTAGCCATGGGCGGTACGGCTGCCCTCAGTCCACGAGAATGTGTTCATGATGCCTCATTCTTAATCTGCATGGTAGCAAATTCCATGCAGATAGATCATGTACTCTTCACCGAATCAACGGGTGCTGTGTTTGGCTTGAAGAAGGATGCCATTATCATATTATGCTCCACTGTTGCCCCCGCCTTCCCGCAAGAGGTCTTGGACCAGGTCCACCATCGGTTCTCTCGGCCCGATATCAGTCTTGTTGACTGCCCTGTATCCGGTGGGACGCTTCGTGCAGCTCAGGGCACACTGACAATCATGTCGTCCGGGGCACAGGATGCTCTGAGACGTGCCCAGCCCATTCTACAATCGCTCGGCCAAACGTTATACCCCATTGAAGGAGGACTCGGAAGTGCCAACAAAGTCAAACTCATCAATCAGCATCTTGCGGGCGTCCATATTGCGATTGCAGCCGAGGCGATGGGACTAGCCGCGACGATAGGGCTGAATACGAAGCTATTTTATGAAACGGTGGTGCAAAGCCCTGCACATAGTTGGATGTTTGAGAACCGAGTGCCACACATGCTCTCCAATGACTGGTCGCCTCACTCTGCTCTCAGCATCTTTGTCAAAGATATGGTACGCCCACTCATCTTGTCACCCATAGGAGCGAAGGTGCTAACACGGGCCGTAGCGGATTGTCGTTTGTGAAGGTCTCAATGAGAACGTCCCCATGTATATCGCATCTGCAGCAGAGCATCTCTATCAATTTGCGGCGCGAGCTGGTTATGAAAAAGAAGACGATTCTGGCCTAGTCCGAATATTCATTCCTCAAGATTTGTCCCTGGTTTCCAGGTTGACGCACCAAGAAAGCGATACAGCTGACTATGAGCAAAAGTCTAATCTGATCTGCTATATGCTGGATATTGTTCACGGGGCAGCAGCAGTTGAGGCTCTTGCCCTCGGTATGAAACTTGGTCTCTCGATCAAGGCCCTGACTTCAGTGATTTCGAACGCAGCGGGTACAAGCAGAAGTTTCGAAGCAGTCGCTACAATGACAATAGGAGAACAAAGGGCTTCTATACGTACTCTAACACAGTCAAGGAACATACTGGTGAGGCTATCTTTCGTCATGTCTGTGTGGAGTATACTGATTCGGGGGTATAGAAGCAAGTCATGACCCTTGCCCAGGTCTACAATTACCCTCTCCAGATTACAGCTACTACGCTGCAGCTATTGCAACAGGCTGTGGCTCGTGGCCTAGGAAATGAGAATCAAGCAGCGCTCTATGTGTTGTGGGGCGCTTGATCACTCACAAACTATTAACATGGTATTAGACACAAACCAATATACGCGCGCGGGGCTCAATACAATCTTATGTTGTACACAGAAGCAGAATCCCTCGATTCATATTCAGGACCGCCTTTAAGTGGAGCAGGATTCCGGGGCGGATCAGCTTTACTTAAGATCAAATCTGAGCAACGAATTATATGATATCAGCTTCGCGGTCTTCTAGTAGTCGATTTGCTCTTTAAGAATAGCCCATTTATGATCCTAGGCTTTACATTACAGGTTGCTTGTTGAAGGAGAAAAGCAGCGTATTGATAAGATTAACGGCTTCGAGACATAAGCTGTGATGCCTCTTTGGAGCAAGAAGCTCATACTATGGCAGGCTAAGTCTGACTTACGGCCACGGCTGCTACATATTTGTAGTCTTACGTTTTTAAATTATGTATATGCTACGGTATCTGGTCCTTATAATATACTATTTTATGGTAGTATAATTTTCTTGACTTTATAGATTTATCGTAGTGGTAGTAGTAGTGGTGGTGGTGATAGTGTAGATATCTAGAGTGTAGGCCCTAGGTTTAGGGGTTGTGGTACCTAGAGTAGAGGCACTATTTGAGCTTACGGGCTACATGGCCCGGGAATAGAGTAAGTCCTTTAAAATTAAAGAGGAGGTAGATTGCTGCAGGAGTGTATATTCAAAGCAGTAATCTGGGTATTTCGCTGTTACGTTTGGTAGACAGTATAGGACGCCCGGATAAACATATCTGATGGCTGTCTCAGGAGCTCAGGCCCAGCGCCTTTGCGGCGGAGTGGGCGAGCTCTCCCTTATGCCTCCGAGTGGTGAACCTGTATATAATTGAAAATATTAGAGATATGTCAAATTTGCGCCATTTCAGCTGGTTCATCTGCGGCTATACTGAATTCCTCGCCAGTCCTGCAAGCATCTAGAAAGAACAAAGTAAGGATTTCCTCTTTACTAGATCTCCCCCCAGTTCTACCGAACCATGAAGTCTTCAAAGTCCTCATCGGGAAGATAGGCCCGTTCATTGTCTTCCAAACTACCCAGGTACCAAGACATATCGCTGCCATCAAACTCGCGGGCGGCAAAGCCGTTTCCAAGGTATCCGAACCGATTGGTGGTCGTGTATCGAAGGTGATAATCTTCCCACCGAGGCTGTTTCATGGTTTCGAAGAAGTGAATTCGGGAGCCAGGCCACATCATCACCTCGCCATCGACAGTGCCCTGTTTGAACCAAGAACGACACGGAGATGTCCAAGCCGTCCGTGGCATGAAATTTCGGTGATGCTCGAAAAAGTCCGCAACTGCTTCCTTCTTGGGCTCAAAGGAGGTGACGCCCTCTGATGACATTTTCTCTAAAATCTGGAGGAAGTGACGGGACAGCGTTTCTGTGATTGGGAGGAAGCTGCCGTGACCATACGGGCCGAAGGGACCATTGAAGACTATTCACATCTGGTTAGCATATCGTATGGCGAGGAGGGGATTGAGACGTCAGGCGCTTCTTACTGAGATAGTTAGGGAAATTTGGAACAGCGATGGATAGGTAGGTCCTCGGTATGTCCTTCCATTGCTCACTGAGACTGCAGGCGTTCCGGCCAATCGTAGGATATGATGGCCGCCAACTGACATCGAATCCAGTGGCACAGATAATCACATCCACCTCATGCTCAACACCATCGGTGGTTTGGATCCCCTTGGGGGTGACCTCCGCGATGGATTGGGAAACCACCGCGGTATTCTCGCTGCAGAGGGCCTCGAGGTATCCGTTGCCAGGCGTCGGTCTACGACAACCCACTGCAAAATCCTTCGGCACTATCCATTCCGCTATCTCGGGCCGACTCGCGAGCTTGGTTCGCATGTCTTTCTCCGCATACTAATGGATTTCTCAGTCTCAGGAGCTCTTCTCAATCGCTAAACAGTGTCACCGTATAACAGTCGGGATCTTACCGCTCTTGCATTCACCTGCTCTTCTGAGCCGTTCAGGATGAATCGGAAACGAGAGTTGAGCTCTGATTCAATCTTCTTCCGATAAGCCAGGTATCTCTGAGGGTCGTTCCGAAGGATCTCCCTCTGCTTCGCAGTATCTGACAGCTGTTAGTTCACCCTTCCTGGGTTGGACACCGAGGGCAATAGGAGCCTGACATTGGAAGTTGGTCCCTCCCTTTCCTGCGAATCGCTGACCGAATCCTGCCGTCACCCAAGAGGCGCTGCGAATAAAGCATTTCAGGGAGGAGACAGCTGTATGCATTGTTAGAGAAAGATCGCGACGTGATGGTCCGTGGACTGACTGGGTTGGATAGTTGGAACGATTTGGACTGCCGAGGATCCTGAACCGATCACAGCCACGCGTTTCCCTTTCAATTCCACTTGGTCATCCCAATGCGCACTATGGAGCATGGGGCCCCGGAAGGTTTCTCGGCCGTGTATGGCAGGCCATTTCCACTTGCTAAGCACCAAATCAGTCTCAGCCGTTGTTTATTGCATGATGAGACAATAGTTTTACCTACTTCAAGACACCGGATGCGTTGACCAGGATGTGGCCATGGTCCTCAAAGGTATCCACGGGATTGTCACCTCTTTGGACCTTGACATGCCACTGTTCGTCATGTTCATCCCACCATGCGCCTACGATTCTGTGGTTTAAGCGAATATATCTGCGCAGGTCGTATTGATCCGCAATACCCTTGAAATACTGTAAGATTTCAGGCGCAGTCGAGTAACTGCACCGGGTCTGCGTCAGCTTACTGGATATAAAGACTGGTGGCGGTTGGATCACCCTATGACAGGAAGGGCTCCGTCGACCATACGTACAATGATGTCCAATTGGGCGACGGTGCCCATGAGAATTGATAATTCACAGAGGGAATATCACATCCACATCCGGGGTAACGATTCTCAAACCAAGTGCCACCAACCTCGGGATTTTTTTCATACAGCACTAGCTCAATGTTCAGGGTGCTCTGATCGATATCGTGCGCAAAGTTCAACCCACTGGCGCCCGCTCCGATCACAATAATGCGGATCTTGCGCCGAGAGCGACTCGGTTCCTCGATGATCTCGTAAGGTCCATGGCATCCCGTCCTGGCTGCCTTTGGAGCGTTTGCTTCATAGAAATTACCGATAGAGCCCATGGTGAAAAATAATAGTTCAATATTGAGTCTGGTGCGAGGGTTGGAATGCTGTCGGCTTAACCACAAGTCGAGTAGCGATCGGTCCTATTTATGGCTCTAGGAGACCGTCACGGTCGCTCCTGAGAAAGGTCACCCAACTAGGTATCGCTCTGGTTCCTCGTGTGGATTGTTTGACTACGCTTGTATGTGGTTGACACCCAGTAAAATTATAGGGTTAGGGTCTGCACATGCTCTATAGATGGAGCTCCACCAGTCCACCCCCACCCTTTACCATCGGTGCTCCACCTCCACCTCGGAGCTTTCTCCGGACCTTCCAACTCCATTCTGTGTTTAGTATGCTTCTTTTTGGATATATATCCGTCTTAAACATGTACTGGAAAGAGAAAGTGGGTGTTGTTGAGAAGTGCCTTCTTCCAGACAAGATTTGATACTCATCATTCAAACTTGAAGCATAAGCAGCGTGGGCGCTGCTGTTACACGTCACCTCTCAGATCAAAATGCCCAAAAGTACAGGCACGAAGCCTTTACGCATTTCAATTGGTCAGTGTAGAGCTGGGCAGTTCCAGGTCCAAAAGTTCCAGAGTATCCAATTCTGAATATGGAGAGCAGATCGAGGCGGGACCTTTACAGATTGCGTTTGCAAAGTCGTCAACGGGGACGATATTATAGCAAAGATCTTGTCTGTGGACCCGAAGAACTATGCCGACGCACCGACCGAGGCGATCCGTCGCGTCCTAGAGAAATACTATAATTGCACCATCCCGCGTGGAACAGAGCTCGACCTCAGGGACGTCGGTACGATTTTTTATTTTTATTTTTTTTTTTTAATCAGATAGCTTGAGACCTATAGCAATACTAAACGGCTTCTGGAACAGAATGGATTCGCATGGGCACAACTGTTGCAACAAATGCGCTACTCGAGAGGAAAGGCGAGTGGACAGCCTTACTCATTACTGAAGGCGTTAAGGATGTTCTTCAGATAGGAAACCAAAGCCGGCCCCAAATGTTTGACTTAACGATCCGGCGACCGATGCCCTTGTATGCCGAAGCCTTCGAGGTGAAAGAGCGAGTCATTGTGCAAGCTTGCAGCGACTCGGATCTCCGAAGCATTCATTTGTCATCCCCGGAGCCTGTAGAATCCGTCATGGGGCCCTCCGGAGAGATAGTCCAAGTGCTCCAGCCCCTAAATATGGTGAGCACGAGACTTAATCTCCAAAAGATTTACGACCAAGGCTTCCGCTCGCTGGCAGTGTGCCTGATGCATTCATACAGCTTCCCAAAGCACGAGCTACAGATCAGAGATATAGCGCTCGAGATCGGGTTTGAGAATGTGTCACTCTCGCATGAGACATCTTCGAGGCCGAAGCTCGTTCCTCGTGGTAACTCCACCGTTGTAGATGCATACCTGACACCCAACATCAAGCGATACCTGCAGAGATTCTCCGAAGGTTTCCCCGACATCGAAAATTCTCAGACGCGACTAGAATTTATGCAATCAGATGGAGGTTTGGTACCTTCGTCCAGTCTTTCAGGGCTCCACTCGATTTTGTCAGGGCCAGCAGGAGGCGTTATTGGATATGCTCGGACCTGCTTCGATACTGAAACGCGAACGCCGGTGATTGGTTTCGATATGGGAGGAACCAGCACTGACGTTAGTCGATATGACGGCAAGCTGGATCATATCTTCGAGACAACGACTGCTGGGATTACCATCCACGCTCCACAGCTCAATGTCAATACGATTGCCGCGGGAGGTGGTAGTATTTTGACTTGGCGGGATGGGCTCATGTCGGTTGGGCCTGAGAGCGCCTCGTCCAATCCAGGTCCTGCGTGCTACCGCAAAGGTGGTCCGCTGACCGTGACGGATGCGAATCTCGCGCTCGGCCGTTTAATCCCTGAGGAGTTTCCTTCAGTCTTTGGTGTCAATGAGGATGAGCCATTAGACAGAGACATCGTTCTCGCCAAATTCAAGGACCTGACCCAAGTTATAAACCAGGAGACGGGCAAGTCCCTTACATGGGCAGAAGTTGCGGATGGGTAAGCAAGACCCACAATTGTATCTGATTGTCTCGTTGGCTAAGAACTATTTGAATAGGTTCCTTCAGGTTGCAAACTCTGCAATGTGTGGACCCATTCGGAGCTTGACCCTAGAAAAGGGCCATGATGTTGCGAAACACCATCTCGCCTCCTTTGGCGGCGCGGGTGGCCAGCACGCCTGTGCTATTGCTAGCGATCTCGGTATCAAACGCGTTCTCATTCATAAATATTCCTCGATTCTGTCGGCCTACGGGATCGGACTAGCAGATGTTGTACATGAGGAAGAGCGAGTCTGTGCGAAGGCCTTTGATGAGTCGACCATTGATATCATCAACGATTCCTTGGACAGCCTCGTCGACTGTGCGCGAAGCAGCAAGACTATGGCGCCATTCAGCAATATCCAGGCTTGCCGTTTCTTGAGCATGAGATATGATGGCAGCGAGACCTCGATCATGATACCTTGGGATAGCCCCGAGAGTGACGCGAAAGAAGCGTTCGTCAATGCCCACCATCAGCAATTCGGATTTACTCCGGTGAACCGTGTCGTGTATGTAGATACCATTCGCGTCCGGGCAATTGGATGCAGTGTTTTCCATGACAGCTCTTCGTCTCCCAGGGTCAAGTCTCTTATGATTCCCAAGTCTACAACGACGACAGCCACCCCAAACTCGAAGGTTTCCACGTATTTCACTGCGGCCGGTTGGGTGGACACGCCTGTCTATCATCTCAATCTTCTTTCTGAAGGATGTCAGATCCAGGGACCCGCTATGATTATTGACAAAACGCAGACGATCGTCGTGGGTCCAAATTCAAAGGCGACCGTCGCTCAAGATGTTTTGCTCCTGGACATAGATTCACCAAGCTCCAAGTCGACCGGCTCAGAAAGTATCGACCCGGTTCAACTCTCCATTTTCCGGCATCGGTTCATGGGAGTAGCTGAACAGATGGGCCGTGTCCTGCAAAACGTCAGTACCAGCGCGAATATCAAGGAGCGGCTCGATTTCACCTGTGCTATATTCACTCCGGAGGGGGACTTGGTTGCCAACGCCCCTCATGTACCCGCCATGATTGGCAGTATGGCCTTTGCCGTGAGATCACAGATTGCTGAGTGGCATGGAAGGCTGCAAGATGGCGATGTGTTACTTTCCAATACTCCCGGTAGGTATTTTGTTGAAGTCAACCCCCGGTGTCGATATTATTTTTGTTTTCTAACAGGCAGTAAGCTTATGGGGGTGTTCATCTCCCCGACTTGACGGTGATTACCCCGGTTTTCGACTCTGCTGGGAAGGATATTGTCTTTTGGGTCGCTTCGCGCGGTCATCATGCCGATGTGAGTGTCTTTTACTTTGGTATTTCGCCAATATCACACGCTCACTAATTCATTTGGTAGGTGGGTGGGATACTTCCCGGCTCGATGCCACCAATGTCAAAGCTTCTCTCGGAAGAAGGTGCTATCTTCAACTCTCATCTCCTGGTTCGTGGCGGTCACTTCGATGAAGAGGAGCTGCGTCACATTCTATGCGTGGAGCCGGCACGTTTCCCAGGCAGTAGTGGTTCCCGACGCTTCCAAGACAATGTCACTGATCTCAAGGCCCAAGTCGCCGCAAATCACTGTGGTGCTCGTCTCATGCGACGTCTCATCGAAGAGTATTCCTTCCGAGTGGTTCAGGTATTGGTCAAGCGCGACGCCAGATGAAAGATCTGTAGCTAATCGGTAATAGGTTTACATGGGTGCAATTCAAGATTCGGCTGAGCTGGCCGTGCGCAATCTCCTGAAGCGCCTCGCACATGAGCGCAGCGGAGAAGATATCTCTGCTGTAGACTATATGGATGATGGTACCCCGATCAAGCTGAAAGTGACGATCAACCCGACAGATGGGTCTGCCATTTTCGACTTCACCGGCACAGGCCCCGAAGTATACGGTAATTTGGGTCTATAATCTTCAGCCTCGTGTGGACATCGAGATCTAATCCGAATTGATGACAGGAAACTGGAATGCTCCGATTGCAATCTGCAATTCAGCGGTCATTTTCACCCTGCGCTGCATGGTCAATTCTGATATCCCACTCAACCACGGATGTATCAAGCCAGTCCAAATAATCATTCCAGAAGGGTCGCTCCTGCGTCCAAGTTCTGAAGCAGCTGTCTGCGCCGGCAATGTGTTGACGTCGCAACGCATCGTAGACGTCATATTCAAGAGCTTCAAAGTGTGCGCCGCAAGCCAAGGATGCATGAACAACCTGACCTTCGGCAACGATGGCGAGAATGGATTTGGATACTACGAGACCATCGCCGGTGGCAGCGGCGCAGGCCCCAGCTGGGCGGGCACAGGTGGTGTACACACGAACATGACCAACACGCGAATCACCGACCCGGAGTCTCTTGAACGACGATACCCAGTCATCCTGCGTCGTTTCAGTCTTCGTAGCGGAAGTGGTGGTGCGGGCTTGTACCCCGGTGGCGATGGAGTTGTCCGGGATATTGAGCTCAGGCTCCCCATGTCGGTGTCGATTCTGTCAGAACGACGGAGCTTCGCACCGTACGGGATGGCAGGGGGGGAAGATGGTCAGCGCGGGAAGAATACATGGATCACCAAGGCTGGTCGCTGTATCAACGTCGGCGGTAAAAGTTCGATTCGGGTTCAACCTGGCGATCGGTTCGTGATTGAGACCCCCGGTGGTGGTGGTTATGGGCCTCCTGGCGAGGTGGCCAGGAGAGAAAAGAACCAGTCGATTGTCATGCTTCCATTTATACCGGTTGCTAATGGCAGCGTAGCTGCCAATCGGATCCTGGCGGAACAGGTTTAAGACTGTGTATACATGGAGAGGCGGCCGTTTCAGGCACCTGGAGCTGTCATTTTCGGCGTCGAGTTTCACAGGTCCTTATATTCTAGGTTTAATACATAGTACATTCAATCAACTGACTCATAGCCATTAAGACATTATCGAAGCCCCAGGCTCAATAGAAGCCGAAATAGAGTAGTGAGGCGTGTAGAGCCCAAGGAGGCCCTCTATAGAACTATATGACGAACAAAAGATAAGGACAGGTGGTGGCAGGACCTTCAAGTCGTCATTACGCTACGGCTGCTTCGTATCTTACCCCGACGATGGTAAGTAGCCAGCATTTTCCTCCCAACAACCAGCATGCCGCTCAGTGCGCTCGACCAACCTGGTCATCATGATGAGATGGGAGTGCCCCCGATGCGGTCGATGGAGAGGCAGCAGCCTGCGAGGAATGCTGCAAAGGTTCCAGGGATGCTTCCGCCATTTCAAGGTCCCCAGCACTACGTGCAGCGGTGGATCCCTGCCGTGAGTCCGGCGCCACGCTCTGTGATGGGCTCGGCGTCAGTAGGCGGGGTCCAGGGTTCTTTCCCGGCTGCTTGCTGGTCTTCACGCGCGCTGGCGCCGGGCCCAGCATGGGTGGGTATTTGAACCGAAATCCCCACACGAAGAACAGGCGCAGCTTTGTCCAGAACCCCATGGCATCCCATCGCTTCTTCAGAATCTCCGCGTCAGCCTGGGAGCGGGCGCGATAGCCCTTGCGGAAGAAACAAAGAAGGAGCAGGCTAATTGGGATAACGGTGAGAGACCAGCAGACAGGCAGACCACGCCGAGTTTGCCAGCCAGTCATCAGGCGGCGGAACCGAATGAAGGCCTCGATAAATCCAAGGATTAAGAAAAGACCAATCCAACCTAGGGTGAGAATAAGGGTGAGCGCCAACGGAGAGATACCCATATAGTAGTCATCAAGGAACCAGTTGTAGTCGTCGTCGTACCCGTAGTAATAACCGCCGGTATAGCGGGAACTGTCTGTACTTGTGTAATAGCACTGTGCACCTGTGTACAGGGAGGTGGGTCGGTTGTAGTAACTGAGTGATTCGAGAGTGCTACTGGGGACCTGAGTTGGATCGACATAGACCACGTCATACGTGTAGGTGGTCGGCTGGAAGGGCACGCTGGAGTCGACCGAAACTGAAGTTTCCATGCTGGTCTGAGGCAGTAAATTTTGCACCACAACGGGCGGTGACACTGGGACGGCAGTGGTCTGTGTCCATTGTGTTGCGCAGCCTGTCGGGGCTGAGTAGGTCAGATAGACCTTAAAGATGGTAGAATGGTAATTATCACTGTAGTAGTAGGGGTAATCGTAGTCATCAACGGCTTTCCCTACGCCAGTGGGATACAGCTTTTGAATGACAGTAGCATCTCCTGCATAGTATCCGGTGCCGATGGAGGTGATAGTCGATACGGCCTCGGGGAGGGAAGTTGCCGTCGGAGAAACTTCCTGGATTGTTGTTATGACCTCGGTGGTGTAGTAGTGGGATTCAGTGACGATAGCCTGTTCGTAGTAATCCGTGACGACCCACGGCACTGCAAGAACGAGTGAACACAGGTGGGTGAGAATGACAGACAAAAACAACATAAACGAGTGTGAGGGCGCCATCCTGGATGGCCGCCTGTGATGGTTTCCGCAGAAATCTCTCCCCCTCTATGGGATGACCTCCTGGTGGCACCCATGGTTTTAATACTACGGTTAGAAGAACCAGTGGCCAAAGGCAACTAGAGCCTCATGACCTCGCCAAGCGATGTTAAGATTGCTTCATGTAACATAGTAGCATCGAATCGCAGTGAAAACCTGTCGGAGGCTCGAAGGCTGATGATGATTGGCAGGGTTTCAATCCAGACAGGGTCAGCAGTCTCGATGAAGCTTTAGCTCGTGCGCTATCAAAGACTTCTTTTGCTGAATTAGGGCTAGACTTGGCCTGTGCTGAACATGGACAGGGACGAACTATTCTCAAGTGGGCTAGTGGCTCTGCTTTTTGGGGACCTCATTTCTCCTATCTCACTATTCGAGTCCGTGTGACATGCAGTAGCAAATGGTACGAGCCTAGGTAGTGGTTCGAGGCCAACATGGCCAGTCGGACCAACTCTTAGTGTGGCTTCGCTTCTGGGATTTTATGGCCATGCTAGGGAGAAAATAGACTAGAATGCTGAACAGCCTTTCCAGTCCCAGATTTTCAGTGGTTGTTTGACATGTTTGCATCACGCTTAGTCCTCCTGGATTGAGTTTAGGCTTGGATTGCTCCGAGCGAAGAACTGGAAACCAACCCCAACAAGTGGAATTTGCTTGATACTAAGTCCACTAGTCCGTACAGGGGCATTGTTGATCTAACTGTGAAGATACTAGTGTCCTTTGACATCAGTTAGTCATATCCCCGAGAGTTTCGCCATCACGGACAATGTCCGGACTCTTAGATTCGAGAGAATGTTGGCCACCTGAAAGTTCTTCAACCAGCATACATAGCCAACAACACCACCTCTTGATATAGCATTCATAGTAGGGTTTGCAGGTTCGTTATTTCCTTTCAGTTAGATTTATGTTGGGTGTATATTTTCTCAATGGCGATGATGTGAATGAAGAAAAGTGGTAGTAAGTACCCGTTTTGGGGTAAAATATGTATATATATCATGAATAACTTCAGTCCCTCATGTAAACATAGAGACTGTAGATGCCTAAAGGCCCTTTGTTAGAACAAAGGCTCTTTGTCTGCAACCACGTGATTCTAGGCCGATATAAAAGGCCTTCATTTGTTCGTAAAATCAATAGGAATTCAAGAATCTTACCTTTTACTAAGGAACTCATATTCTTCATCATTTCACAGAGACTCGCCCGCTAATATATTAGCATGTTGACTAAGCATACTCGAAAAGAGCTGCTATGCTGGAAGGTACTACTAACAATGGATCCGTACAAATGACTGATGTGTCAACAAGTACCCACACATAATCCTGTACATGGACCACGAATTATTTCATGATTCATGAAATCCCTTGATTGATCTTCTTGACGCGGCGGGAATCAAACAGTGCAAACAGCCTCCGGAGATCCGATGGAATTGCCATTTTCGGTAATCGTCGGGGAACCATCTCATTCGCCTAAAGTGGAAATCGAGAGATGAAGAGATTCAAATCTGTTGTTCGTTGCGACAAACCAAGATGTAGTTGGAAAGTATAAAAGACAATGATGTTGGAAGCAAATCATTTCCCTACTTTGATGCAAAACCACCACTACACAGGCTTTGGCAGCAAAAATGTCATCCATGCTGGTTTATTCTGTCCAACAAAGGTTGAATCTCCGGGCGTATGGGGGTGCCATTGAGGATGTGAAGAGATTGAAGCCCTCCACATCGGACACCCCGCTGGAGGTGCTAAGAAGACGTTTCCATGAAGATGGAGTTCTTTGGGTGAGTCTGTCCAACCGACAGTTGTCCAGAATCAGTCATCCTAATATCACATAGGTGAAAGGCCTCATTAGCCGGGACTTGGTGAACAAATGCCGTCGGGACTACCTGGAGTTCGTTAACCAGGGATCTGGCATGCTGAAGCCCGGCACTGATCCCCAAGACGGTATCTTCTCCGGGAACGATTGGAGAAATTTCATTCTTCCAGGCGGTACCCGTCTCGCATTAGGTCTCGAGGATGAAGGACCCTTCGTCGAGAACACGGTGAAAAGCCATGTCGCACCGTTTTATCTGCTTTTCAAGGACGAAATTGCCAAGCAAATGGAAGCTTTTGTGGGGAAACTCTTCGATTTTGAGGATCCCTGGTGCTTACCTCGCTCACTGTTGCGGTGCGCAGTTCCTGGCGCAGAATCAACACCGGTTCACTATGACCAGATCTTCCTCAGGGCTGGGCCCCCAACCAGTGTCACCGCTTGGGTGCCTATTGGTGATATCGAGAAGAACGGTGGCGGGTTGATGTATCTCGATCATTCACATGACATTGGGAAGAAGTATGAAGAAGACTTTACGCGCCTCAGCATGGACTTGAGTGACGAGGAAAAAGTATCTCATGTCAATCGAAACATGAATGCGGGAGGCTGGTTAGACAGGAATTCATCGCAGTTTGGGAAAAACTGGGGCCGGGACTGGCTGGTGGTAAGTTATTGCTCCTCGAGAATGATAAGCACCGGTATGAACATTGCTTCTGATTCCATATTCAAACTTACAGGGTGAATACGAAGCTGGGGATGTCGTTTTCCACAACCCATACATGATCCATGCTGGACCCATCAACGAGTCGCCCAAGGGTCGGATTCGAGTATCAACTGATCTACGGTTTGTCGACAAATCGATGCCCTTTGATGAACGATGGACTTTCCCTGCCTTCAGTGAAAGCGATCCTAACCTAGCGCGCAAACTGAAGCCGTCCGCCTAAAGGGTGCACTTCTGGCTCTCTGAAGCTTACGTTTCTCGCTAGATCTCGCTGAATGCGAGGATGGTAGGCCATCATGGCCTTTTATACGATTGACCGGACCGTTCCAGCTATCTTATATTCCGGCTCACAGATTTATGTTAGGACTGCCAGCCACACCCGCTATATCTTATACTAGTATGTTAACTCATGGGATATGTTCTTCTATGTGGTTCCTAGCTTATATTTGTTTGCTTACAATGCGGATATATTAATGATGACCAGGTGTAGCTGTTAGTGAACTCGTATCTTGTAGGTGATTGTAGACGCAGGAGATCAGGAATGCGACAGCACCCTCTTCCGCCCAGTTATCCCTTTAAGCATATCCTTGGGCATTTTAATACTATATAGTGTCCACCTGTATTCTAGATAAAGCTGCTTTTCGGGATTGATATGGATAACGGATCAGTGAAACAGTGTAATGGTAGTTGAAGTGAGAGATATTTAGAACATCAAGTACTACTAGTGTGGGAGGAACTATGAATATGGCCGGTATAATGACATGATTGCTAGCTCTGATGCACCCACGACTGCTCTCAGCATCAGAGGATGAAATACCAAGGGGAAGTACTCGCGGAATAGTATGCACTGTATGGAGTAAGCCCACCCGAGTCGGGGAAGCAAATGTGTTGGAAGCAAGGAATTGGAAAAGGAAATGAATTGCCTAATCGGGTTCCGGATAGGATCGTCTTTTTCTCCCCGCATATTCTTAAGCTAACCGGTCAATTGCCAGGAAGCCTATTTGCTAGACTAAGTTTAGGTACAATTTATCCACTTATCATTTGCTACCGGAGCTAGTCGTTTGATCTAGTGAGCTAGCTGCATAGCTGGTATATTAATGGTGCATGTCTCTCGTTGTTCGAAATGGATTCTATTTCTCCCTTTCGATGCTTAGTTGTTCGCCTACTCGAGGGTTTGCCCGAACGATATACTTTCACTTCATGGATCACAAACTTGATGAGGTGCCAGACGTGGTGCGTATTGAGGATCTGCGACATGTTCAATCAACACAGAACGACCCCAAATCGTTGACGGCTGCGGCGATCAATCAAGAGCATTTCGAATTGTATCTCGAAGCAATTCAAAGGTACCCAGTTGATGCAGCCATTGATTCGGATGAAGAGAAGCGGTTGATACGTAAATTGGATATGCGAATTCTCCCTCTTCTTGGAATCTGCTATTTCTTCTACGTATGTTCACAAGGACCTTTCTTTCCCTCTCCCCCCCCTCTCTCTGCTCCCCTTTGTTTTCTTTTCTCTTTTGGATGGCCCACTGATCACGGTTTATCAATATGAAGTACGTCGACAAGACGACACTTTCTTACGCAGCGATCTTTGGAATCAAGGAGTCTCTGCATCTCGACGGGCAAGAGTATTCGTGGCTATCGAGCATCTTCTATTTTGGGTGGCTAGCATGGGCTATTCCATCGAACCTGATAATGCAGAAACTTCCACCAGCCTGGTATCTCTGCTTTAACATCTTCATGTGGGGGGCGCTCCTTATGTGCCAGGCCGTATCGAAGAACTTCGCCACTCTCTCCGCGCTTCGAGTACTGTCTGGCGCATTTGAAGCTATTGCAGATCCAGCGTTCATGCTCTTCATCTCGACCTACTACACTCGTGAGGAACAACCGTCACGTATTGCAGCATACTACCTCTGGAATGGCATCGGTGTGGCTGGTGGTGGACTTATTGGTAGGCTTTATCTTCTACCCTTCATATGTGAGCTCAGGGTCAGTTTTTTAATAGACATAATCCGTAGGCTATGGGATTGGTAACATCAAGGGCGCTTTGGAATCCTGGCGTTATGAGTTCCTCATTGTGGGCGCGGCCTGCTCGTTTTGGGGCCTTCTGCTAACGCTGGTGCTCCCCAATTCCCCCACCACGTTCTGGGGCTTTACTCATGAGGAGAGACTGATGATTATTGCTCGCGTGCGGCGCAACCAAACCGGTGTGGAGCAGCGAAAAATCAAATGGGATCAAATCAAGGAAGCGTACCTCGATTATAAGACATGGCTGTTTTTCCTGCTCGGAGTTGTCGGCAATATTCCCAATGGCGGAATTTCTAACTTCTCGACCTTGGTGATCGAAGGTCTCGGATTCAATACCTTCCACACGGCCCTACTCGGCATACCGCAGGGTGTCATCGTGGTGATCTGGATCGTGCTGGGAGCAATTGGCAATAACTACCTCCCAAGCAATAGTCGTACAGTGGTCTCCGCTCTCTTTATGCTTCCAACCATTGCTGGCAGCCTTGGGTTTCTTCTTGCACCCCAGGATGCATACGTTGGCCGATTGATCTGTTTGTAAGTGGGCTCTTGGAATCGCGAGTGTATCTTTCTCTGGGTTGACCAATCTAAATTGGCTAATATAATTGTTTTGTCATTGACAGCTACCTCACGGGCTCATACCAGGCTTCGTTCGTAGTGTCCCTCTCGATTGTCACTTCTAACACTGGAGGACAATCGAAGAAAATGATCGTGTCTGGCATGATCTGGTTCGGCGTATGCGTGGGAAACATCGCCAGTCCTTTCTTTTACAAGACGGAGCAGGCACCCACCTACCGTTTAGGTATCGGCTCCCTCCTCGTTTCTAATTGTATCGAGCTCCTGCTATTTTTTGTTATCCGCTATGTGTTCATCTGGGAGAATCGTCGTAAGGAGAAGGCAAGAGAAGCTCTGCGAGGCCAGGAGGGCGAAGATGCATTCACGTTGAATGTAACGGCCTTCAACGACCTGACTGATAAACAGAATCCCAACTTCGTGTATGTATACTGAAAGCCTTTTTAGCTGCAAGATACTGGGATAAGGGGAGAGGAAGCAAATATAACTAAACATGGGAACGAATAGTATGTCTAGTTAGCTGTTTGTGCACTCAGAAGGAGTAATCCGCGTAGGTCTCTGCTCAGCCTTGCCTTCACCAGATCTAAAATGAATCTACACTGGGAATGAGGGGAAACTCGAGCGGGGGGAACACTAAAGATGTGGGGAAGTTGATGCTGCTCTTGGCTGGGCGTGCGCCTCCAACAGTCGTATTCCTCCTCCATTTCGCCTGTCCTCGATCTTCGGCCACCTCCAGCCTCCCACTACTATGGATGAGGCATCGTTCCTACGAATTGTCCCGTATTCTCCGACGCATGCGAAACGTAACACACGCCGGCGGAAACGCACTAGCTTAAGCCAGAACCCTGACACATCCGACTCGGTCGCGAAAATCCGCAATGCATGCACGACGTGCCGAGAGTAGGTGGTTTCTGCTCACGCTGCGAAGGGGTGCAAGCATTGACACCGATCTAAAGAAAGAAGACTAGATGCTCAGGGCATATGCCATGCCTACGATGCCGGCAGAATAGCCAGCCATGTCAATACATGCCCCTCGCACGGCGTCACGACCCGCAAGGCCAGCCAGGAGAATCAACTTCGGGAGCAATCTCTAAAAGACCGTTATCTACTGGAGTAGATCATGAATCCCCTCAGGATACGCAAATGACCCCCGAGGAACCACCGCAGGAAGACCAATACGGCCATTTTCATGGAAGTGCATCGGGGTTTGCCTTCCTGCAACTTGTTAAAGCTAGGCTGGCCAGTTTACCATCGATGTCGCTGAATTTCCCTGACTACCCACTGCTAGATTCGACCAATTTTCCCGCAACGCTTCCCCCGAAGTCGATTGCAGATACTCTCATCCATAACTACTTCGACTTCGGTCTGACCACGTCGCGTTTCGTACATAAAAGCAGTCTGCTGGCCTCCCATGGAAGCCTGTATAGCAACAACCCCGACAGCCTTCCCAGCCAGGACGATCGAGCTCTCTTATATATGGTAATGGCGATCGGATCTCATTACGCGCAGGCAAACACAGTATTCAGCGGCTTTTCTGCTAGGTACGCATGCTATACGCCGCAGCCTATACAACTACATTACTGACCACTACGGTGATAGTGTTCAATATTTCACCATGGCCCAAAGGGAGTTAGAGAGAGGGTCCAGTAAAATCACCCTGAGTTCATTACAGGCCAGGTTGCTGATCACCCATTACCTTCTCAACCACTCCAGGATGCACGACGCGTGGTCCTCCTTTGGGATTGTTGTTCGACATGCACAAGCGCTCCGCCTACATCGCGAGGCTACCGCATCTCCAACGAACTTCATTGAGCACGAATATCGGAAGAAGTTATTTTGGTCCATTTACATCTACGACCGAATCCTCAGCAGCATATTCGGCCGCCCATCAGCACTGCATGACGATGACATCGACCAAGAGGAATGCGGATTCACGGATGATGATGATGTTACGATTCCCGAGAACCATCTAAAAAGCAAAGGTGCATTCTGCTCGGGGGCTGCCCTTGTATACTATGCCCGACTAGTTAGGATTCTTGGAGTGGTACTACGGGAGTTCTATGGCCCCGTGCGAAAGCGACATGACCTCCAAAGTCTCCAAGCCATGGCAGTCAAGATGCAACAACTTCTACAAAACTGGGTACTCAACCTTCCTCCATTCCTGGATTTCATCTCCTTACCACCCTCGACCATGTCGACTCTCACACAGCGGCAGCTATGCACCCTAAAGCTGGTCTATTCCCATACAAGGCTACTTTTGTACCGCCCGTTTATTCTCTATTCGATCCAACAGAATGCTGATACACAGGATACCCCGGATCTGGTAGCATGGTTTGCCCATTGTAGTGACAAGACCATTGAGGCAGCCTATTCGATTGTAGACGAGTGTCGTTCCTTGCAGAACCGCGGCCTGTTCTCGCGTCGCTTCTGGTTGGTCAATTATACCCAATTCGCGGCGATTGGAACCTTGTATATGTACTCGAGTATTCGACTGAATGAGCCCGGCATTCGGGCAGTTGCCGACGAAGCTCTGACTCAATTCCCCGTCGGGGTCGAAGGAGATCTCGTGGGCCAACGATACCTTGACATCTTACAAGAGTTGCAAAAGGTGACTCTACAGTGCAGCACAACCACTGATAATACCTTCGATGGGTCGACTATGGACGGTTCAGGGATCGAGCTTCCCGACTTGGATGACATGCTATTGGGCAATGGTGATCCATTTGGTTCAGCCGTGCTGGATACAGCATTCATCGATGCATATTTAAGGGAGGCGGACTGATAATGACGATCGTACAACAGGTTTGCCAATACATAGGGGGAAACCTATTGGATCACTAGACTCTCCCCGGGATTGAATCATACCAGGCTGGGATACAAACCAGGGCAGCTTCGTGAGCACTAATTGTCGTCAGAGTTAAGCAACATCAATATCTGGTGTTTGTGGAGCGTTTAATGCACTTCACTGGTATCTATAGTCCCTTTTAGGGTTGAAGGGAATCTTGATGGAATGTAATAGCCGAATTGAAGCATTCCTTCTACGGTCGAATGTCTCGCTATATCCATGGACATACTCAAACCTTCTTCGTATTGATATCAAGAGGTATCTTCCAGTTTCTTAATTGACAGTTGATTTCGCCAAAGTTCCCCCCAGCAGAGGACCAGCACACAGCCCAAGGAGAAAACGGCCAAAATGATCGCTTCGATTCCATATCCTAGTCCATATCCAAGACGCTCCACTAGATTGGGGCTCCAGAAGGGTACGGTGAAGGCAAGAATCTGCCGCACAGTGTTAATGAGTTGAAGCACCGAGTCCGAGTGAGAAGACAAACAGTCCACGCAATACGTTTTCGAGGGGGTGGTCACCAATTGAAGGCCAAAGTTCGCCACTGCAAAGCCCATGCAGGGCCCCATCCAATGGGTACGGTATTGTAAGGTCAGACCGAAGATCAAGATGCCTGAGACGGCGATCAGAAATCCTGGAAGGCCAACAATCAGTCGACGTTCCAAGCGTTGCGCGGTTCCACCGGCATCTCCAGCAGCAGCGGCAGCGGCAGCACTGCTCCTCCGCTCGCGCTTCATGATCCAATCACTTCCTGGGCCAGCGAGCTGTTCGCCGATAAGGGCTCCAACCAATGGGCCCAAGAAAAAGAGACCCTGTGCGACCGCGCCAAATTCGTATAAGTCTTCCAGAGCAAGTGGCACAATCGTTGCCAATCCTACAGAAACAATCGCAAAGGTGACGCCATACGCGAATGCCACGAAGACGATATGGGGCGCTTGGAGAATCAGAAATGGCTCTAGGACGTGTTGCACTCGAAACCTAGCATTTCCGGATCTGCGATGTAAATCTGAAGTCTCGGGACACGTTAAGATGAAAGCGATCGACTGCACAGCATTCATGATGGCTGTGAGCCACAAGGCCCATCGCCAGCCAGCATAGCGCACCACAGGCCCGCCGATCACTCCACCGAGCGGAGCCCCGATCGACACCATTTGCGCCCAGATCCCATTCTTGCGACCACGCTGTTCTTTCGAAAAGATGTCAACCACAATTACCCCGGGAAGGACGAACCCCGCGGAGATGCCGAAGGACTGGAACACACGGGCGGTCATGAGACCCCCATAGGTCTTCGCAAACCCTCCGCCCAGCGCAGCGAAACACGATAACAAGGTGCTTGTAATCAGGATAGGACGGCGGCCGTATGCCTTCATGCAAGTGATCCAGAAGAACGGAGCGAGCCCGAGGAAGAGGACGTGGACGGCGATGAGATATGTCGCTGTTTGAGAAGAGATCCCCAGTTCTTGGGCAACGGCATTGGTTCCGGGGATCAGAATGCTGCTGGTGAAACCAGGACAGACCGCGAGGAAACTGCACTGAATCAATATCAGGTGCTTGCGAAGCCAGGGCCATTCCTAAAGCGCATTGGGTTAATCCTGTCGTCTTTGGAAAGCTGGGCGCGACGTACATACCATGGGGGTATCTTTCCGGTCTTGCGCTGAGAGGGAACAGCTCTCGTCTGGCTGCGCGCCGTGTACAATTCGTTCTTCAGTACCCATCATGGAACCCTCCCTTTATCACTAAGATTCATAATCTGGGGGCGACAATTTCTACCGGTGGCTGGCGGAAAGAGGTAGAGTCCTGGACTTAAGCCAGCGCGCGAGCAGGCGTTGCAGGCGCGGGGAACGGGAAAATACTAAACAAGACGAAATAACATAGTGACATTGACAATTTCTGGGTGATCGTCGATCGATCGACAAATGGCTTCAATAGTTTCGAGATGGCAGAAAGAATAGGGTAAGGATCCACCCGTGACCCAGGGATACACAGTGAACCTTCCTAGTTAGGAAGGTGTTCAGCCATCAAAATTGATTTTATTAGATAACCAGGGTATCATAAATAACGTATTTCACCGGTGAGCGGGCCACACCAACGAGCGGGCCACCTCCGCTTCGATTCTACCTCTAGATGAGATTGTAGAGCCTATATCAACCAAATATTTGCATTTCTGCATAATGACTAATTACTAAGTGGATTAGGACATCTAACTCTAGTATGCCCCTGAGTATGACAATTAGAACACCGTGGGGGAGCTCGTACACGTGATCTAACTGTAGAAAGTGTAGGATCTACAGCGATAGTATCCTGAGCTTTATCAACCTCATTCTCGCGTTGGAAGCGCTCTAAACCCTCCTGAATAGCTAGACTCTCTGTAATAGCTAGCTGCCTAGTAGAGCGCTTTCGCTTTTGGCCTTTCCATTCATTCTCCAC